AGCTTTTGTTAAGTTTTAAGTGGAAGCTCTCGTGCCTCATGTCTTGGAGCTGGCACGGAGGTCTGTGTCCTCATGCTGGTCTATTCTAACCCAGACCACTGGCAGCCATGTTTAAGTGAGGGACAAACAAAGGAACCACTGAATATGTGATACCCATGCCCAAAGAAATTTTCGAAAGACCACCAGTCCACATTCCTTATTATTGTTCAATATTTTAAAAATTTCAAGTAATGACCTCAAAATGTCCTGAACACACAGGAAATACTTACTGGTCTTACGCTGTTTTTTTTTTTTTGTTTTTTTTTTTTTTAAATTTAATTTTCTGCACAAGATAAAGTTTAGCCTGCCTTCTATGGTAACGGTATCCAGCATAGAACATGCTTTTTATTTACTTGTATGCAACTATTTACATCCCATCCATAAATCTGTTTATACAAAGCAACCCTCGATTCCCAGACATGGCTTTTTATGCATGAGGCACAATTTGATGCAGACCTTGGGGACAAGCACTCTGAAGACACTCATTTGTACACACAGTCTCCTGTCCAACTTTCATTGTGTGGTCCCTGTTGACTGTCAAGGTTCATTGCTTTGATGGTGGCTTTTCATAATCTCCTGAGACTAAATTTACTCCCAACATAATAGATAGACACACAGTCTCCCTCCCCCTCGCTCTCTCTCTCCCCCTCCCCCCTCTCTCTCCCTCTCTCCCCCTCCCCCTCCCTCTCCCTCTCTCCCCCTCCCTCTCTCCCCCTCCCCCCTTTCTCTCTCTCTCTTCCTCCCCCTCTGTCCTCTCTCCCCCTCCCCTCCCCCCTCTCTCCCTGTCTCTCTCTCCCTCCCCCTCGCTCTCTCTCTCCCCCTCCCCCCTCTCTCTCTCTCCCTCCCCTCGCTCTCCTGTGCTCTCTCTCTCTCTCCCCCTCCCCTCCCCCCTCTCTCCCTCCCTCTCTCTCCCTCCCCCTCGCGCTCTCTCTCTCTCTCTCTCTCTCTCTCTCTCTGCACCAGCCCCTCAACCCTCTTTGCCTTTTCCCTCCTCCCCATAGAAAGTGCTGCACCAGTCTCTTGAGTCAGTTAGCTCAGCACATGGCAAAATCCGACTTGGTGCACATCCATCAGCCCTCAGTCCCAAACTCCAGGGAGGGATGAGGGGGTGGACAAATGAAAACCAATTTCCTGGGTCTTGGAAAAGAGCCATCAGGCAAGAGTTGGAAAACAACGTCAAGGCTTTTCCGCCCCTGGCTACTAGAGTCTAGGAGTGTTCTGATCACCTGTTTGTTGTCACCTTATGTCACACCCAATAATGCGGGTTTTTACTCCTTCTTGCCACTCATGTCCCCGTCCTGGTGCCTCCACCTTCCAGAAGCTCAGACTTGAAGCGTTTGAATCATTGCCAAGTTAGGACTAGGGGTGGATCTCAGTGGTAGAGCTGCCTGGTCAGAACACAGAGGCCCCGGATTCAATTCCCAGCGCGGGGGAAGGAGGAAGCAGGGAGCTGCGAGAGAGAAGCGGAAAATGAGAGGAAAATTAAAAAACCAACTGTTAATGTTACTAAGTTGTCCCCCACGGCACTAGCCTTCCCTAATTAACCAAGTCCCTTTGAGAGCCTATCCCTGGACCAGTGGCTCTCAACCTTCCTAATGCTGCGGCCCTTTAATACAGTTCCTCATGTTGTACTGACCCCCCCCCCACCGTAAAATTATTTTCATCGATACCTCATAACTGTATTTTTGCTACTGTTATGAATCATAATGTAAATATGTGACATGCAGGACATCTAATGTGTGACTCCAAGGGGCAGTGACTCGCAGGTTGAGAATGACTAACTCTGTAATCTTCTGCAGTCTACTTTGTTATGCATGATGCCAGTAGAGCAAATTGGAGAGGCCTTGCAAAACCTTAAATCCACAATTAATAATACCTCAGAAAAAAAGGTAATCTTGTCAATAAGTTTGAATTAGCTTTTATGAGGACACATCAAGTTCCTTATATTAAACGACACTCACATAGTCTGGGATTTTGTTACAGTTTTTGTTGATTATGCGCTCACATAGGCTGGGTTTTTGTTACAGTTGTTGTTTAGCTTTTTCAGTGTTTTGAGCTTTGACTTTGACAGGCAGAGCTGGCTTTCTACTTCCAGAAGAATATGGCAGTGGGCTGCTGCCTCCATCGTCATGTGACAATTTCAACTAAGGAACATATGGAGAAGAAATGGAAACTGTAAAATTCAAAATTATAACAGGAAAAGACAGTTCTGACCTTCATATAGTATTAAAAAAAACATTAGTGTTGATTTGCAAATCTCCAGATATTGTTAAATATATGCCATTAGAAGCTTGCTATCTGAAAAAAAGAAAAAAACCTCAGGCTACATTGTCTTAAGACTGGCTAAGTCTCGGCTGGCTAGCATGACTATCATACATCCAATGGTCTGCGGAAGATACCAGAGTGCCGCATAGGAACTGGGCGCCTCTGTGTCCACACACCCTGGACTGGGAGGCATCCGTCCAATAGCATTGCTTTCACTGGGGCCCTCAGTTTTGGTTTCACTGTGGTAGCAGATGTCCTGTAGTTACCTAACTCTGAAAGTAGTGAGCAAGGAAGCCTGAAAGCTGCCATAGGACACTGTCAGGTGTGACTGCCGTGTCATTATAAGTGTGCATGTGTGTCTCACCTCACGTGATCACCAGGAAACCAACAAATGTAGGCACTGTTGTTCACAGATGAGGAAATCCAAGGAATGGGAAATCATAATAACCAACAAGCTACGATAAACCTGCCCCGAGTCACATGGTTACTGGCCCTAAGAACCAGGTCTACTGCCCAGAGTTTTAAATGCCTCTCATTAGTGCCAGAATGAGTCCCTACAGTCTCTCACACTCTGTCTGGCCTACATGATGGACGGCCAGTGGGTTTCCAGGAGAGAAGCCAGGTGAGACCAAAAAATTTAAAAAATAAGTTTAAATGCAGAAGAGACAAGTTTGAGGTTGCTCATCGAGGCAAGAGGAAAAGGTCTGTCAGCACAGAGTATCTCAGGCCTTGCTAGTGTGCCTTCTATTTCCAATCAATGAAAAACACCCCTTTCTAGGGCAGTTTCTGAGCTCTCAAGAGTGAAGCCACCTGGCAGTAAAGGGGATGGGACCAGAAACCAGAGAAGGATGTACTCAGCCCCCAGGGGCACAGTCCTGCTTGACAGGTTAGAGGCTAAACTTTGTCTCAGCTCCTAGGTTACTAAAGAATAGAAGCATAGTAAATGGGTAGAGGAAGGGTGAACAGCTACCAATAAAGAGGCCTTTACCATATCCTCCCAAGTCCCTACTGCCTGGGGCAAGCAAGGAGTTCCAGCCTGGCTGGGGATGAGGAGGGCCAGATCCAGGGGTTTTAGCTGGAGCCACTGTTCCTTTGCCACAGGCTGGAATATATAAAGTACAAGGCCTTGTGTGAGTGGACTTCTCAACTCACAGGTAGTTTGGGGAAGAAAATCTGTTCCAGGCTCCCTGGTACTCTTTTGGGAATCCAAATCCATGACTCTGTCTTCCATCGCCCAATCATAATGACAGTCTCCAGCATCAGAATTAAAATTTGCCAAACACCCACTTTGCTGAGAATAGAGGGCTCATCTCATGCCTAGAAATGACCTCATGATTCATCTTTGACATTTCAGAATCATTTCCAAAGATTCCTATTAAGCCACAGAATTGAAAGGGAGAACAGAGACTCATTCTGTCTCCTCTGCCTGACCCTTTATCTGAGGGTGGTCTGTTTCCCCAAAATGGATGGAGCAGCAATAATTATTTGTTTGAAAGCTGTATACAAAACCTAAATGTAAAAACAAGATTTGTTCTCATGGAAAATCAGGACCTGTCCACCTGTGGACATGTAGACTTTTGCCTGGAAGACAGACAAGTGGAGCTTTTTTTTTTTTTTTTTTCAGAGTTTCATTTGTCTTGCGTTGCACCCAATAATTCAAAGCTACCCAGCGTATTTTCCTGAGTCAGGAGCAGGTGGGATGAAAATGTCACAACTGTCAACAAGAATGATGAGCAAGATCAGCACGAACTGCAGCAGCTGGGGAGGGGCCAGGGATGCTAATTTGGCACTGCATCCTTGTGAAGGATCGCATTTTCAGAAGTTCTAGTGCTGGACTAACATGCCACGCAGGACAACCTCCGAGACACAAAGATGGGTGGGGGGAACCTTATGATTTTGCTCTTAGGAGAAGGAATGGACCTTGCAAAGCATGCTAGTGCCAGGACCTGAAGCCACAAGGCTGTATTTAAATCACCCCTGGAGGCTGGGGTCTTGACTGTCATTTATAGTGTCTGTATCATTTCTTTGATGGGGATAAGTGTGGCAAAGTGTAAAACTGTTGAATGCTTGGATAATTTTTATTGCATCTGTACACCTGGGTTGAGATGTTCTGACATTACAGGGATTGTGACTGTCCTCGTGTGGTTTATACTGATTTAAGAAGACAGACAGAGGGGACTTCTTAGATTCATTCATCTTGTGCAATAATTGGGAATATTAAAACAGCAACCTGACTCAGTCAGTCTGAGCTATACCATCTACATTTCCTTTTCACTGTCAAACACATGAATTAGCATAAGGAACATTTTCCTTCATCCATCCTCAGAACAGTTCAAATCTCAAATAGCAAACAAGTTAAAAGCATGGATGTAAAAGTGATTCCTTTCATATATAGAGCTTTAAACACAAACTATTTATGGGTCATCAAATTACTTAATGGTCAGAAACGTATTCTTGTCATAATATGACCCAACAACAGACTCAGAAATGCAGTCTCTCCAATATGTTTCTGTTAGGTCGAAGCTGGTCTTCCCAATCCATCAAAATCTCCCCAACCACAGATGGAGTAGAGCGGCAAACACGATGTGTCTGAGCTATCCTGGAGGGCCGGCTGCATCCGCTTCTCCTGTTCCTGTGCTTACAAAGGTGCTTGACCCAGCCGCCTCCGAGACTCACACATCTTCCATTTTCCACAGAGTTCCAGTGAGGAAGATTCTTTAAGTGAACCACGATCAAATACCAAACTACCTATGGCTAAGTGTGAGCCCAGACTTCCAGCCATTGACCAAACATTAGTCAAGCAAAAACACAAAAGTACCATGACCTCAAAGAAGCCAGAGAGAGTGAGCCCCAGCAAACCCTCCCCAGGTGAGTGGCTTCCTTACTGAAATCTGCATCGAAATCCTAGGTAGGATTGACTAATCCTAGGGAGGGCTTGCCAAGTGGCTAGTGTAGGTCTTAGAAGGCCAATGAACCTGACTGAGCAATGGCAAAATTAATCTTGTAGTAGAATAGGATCCCTTATCTTCAGGCCCACTTCTCCACTTCCTGTACTATTTCTTACAAATGCTGCCTTTTCATCTTTGCCACAATTCTGGGGTGGAGGGGGTGGGGTGAGGGAGTGGGGGGGATGGGGGTGGATAAAGGCATTTGGCCCCAGGTATCAAGTTTTATGACTAAGGCAAGAGGAGCTTTTGGAAGCATCTGAGTGACATATTTTACAGCCCAAGAGCAAGTAATAAAGTCCTCCAGTTCTGGGGATGTCCTCTCAGGGAGAAAGGGAACTTGATAAATCCCCCCTTTGTGTGATTTGGTAAATAACTCACTCTCAGGCTTTGAAGCTGAGACAGTAGTCTTCTTGGGGCAGGAGCGACTCATAGTATCCAGCAAGAAACTAAGATCAACCCAAAGTTTAGACTGCCTCAGGCTCATCCTGTCCCATCAAGGCCAACATCTGTGGAACAAAATTGTGTCCTCTGGGAACCACACATACATTGACGTAACTAGGCAGAAAGGTCTGCCTCCTGGGAAAGGGGCCAAACTAATTGCTGAAGAACTCGTAAATAGCAAATGCCATGTGATTCATTAAAACCCCAATCACAGTTTCTTCCTAATCCTAAGTAGCTGCTGTCATGCCGGTCTGCTTAAGTCGAAATGCATTTGTGGAAAATGGCACCTTTCACTCAGATTAACCACCCACATTCTCTGGCTCTAATGAAGTCAAGACCAAATTGACTTTGTAAAGTGTTGTCCTCTTGGGCAAAGTACCAACTTCTGCTCCTTATTTCATAATGGGTGGGGGGGCAAAGGGGCCGGCGGGGGCAGGTGTGTGTGTGTCCAAGTTAAATTTCTCATTTGAAAGACTGCTAGTAGGAATTGGGTTTTTAATTCAACTATCTTAAAGCCTGAATAGAACGCATGAGGTCACTCTGCAAATACTGTATTGAATTAAGATTGGGTTTTGATCGCTGTACTCTGAAGGTAAGCTCAAATCTTGCAACTCCATTCAGTGTAATATTTAGCCTTCTCACTGCAACCTGGCAGCTGATGCTTTGTCATCTGTGGAGAAAAGTCATTCAAACGAACCTTTGAGGTCCACTCTGGATTTGGTTTGTCTGATTAATAATACAGATGTTTCTCAGACTGAGCAAGCCCCGTGTGGAACTCCCAACATTAACAAACAGGGAATGAATTCACTTTCTAGTCTACAACCCATCGAACTTAAAGAATTATCAGGCTAAAGAGCACCAAGGTTTAGGCAAAAGACCCGTGTTGGCAGAAAGATAGCTTTCTCGCCACACAAAGATGTGACTTGGAGCAAAACACATTTTCCAGACACTATCTTTATCATCCTGTTATGTTCCGGGCGGCACTCAAGACCCATAGAGCTAGGAGCGGGTTGGGACTGGCCACCCAGCCAGCACAGAGGTCTTGGAGGTTAATATCAGTGCTACGGGGGCTGTGTGAGAGAGTGCAGCAAACTGAGATGTAACCCCAGTGACACAGTGTTTGCCTACAATGCATGAGGCCCCAGGTTAAGTGGGAGGGGAAAGAAGCTAAGACTGGCTCTAGCGGACATATCTCAGAACTAAGGAGGCTGAAGCTGTAGGGCCAGGAGTTTGAGGCCAGCCTGGGCTACATAGTAAGTCCTTGTCTCAAAAAGAAGAGGAGGAAGCCGGGCATTAGTGGCGCACGCCTTTGATCCCAGTACTTGGGAGGTAGAGGCAGGCGGATCTCTGTGAGTTTGAGGCCAGCCTGGTCTACAGAGCTAGTTCCAGAACCGGCCCCAAAATTACACAAGGAAACCCTGTCTCGAAAAACCAAACCAAACCAAACCAAACAAAAAAACAGGAGGAGGAGGAGAAAATTAGATAAAAACAAATCACTGGTGGGTTAGGAGCTTTTGGTTTAAGGAGTGTTGACCCTTCTGACCCCTAGTTAGCAAAGTGAAAGCTTTTGGATTTAAGCTGAGTCTGTTGAGGACAGATTGGAAGCTGCGGGCAGGGACAGCACACCATTTAATTCCGATAAATGCCTGCTATGACAGGAAAGAGGGTTTGGTTCCCGGATTATCGGGATGTTGATCTAACTCACCAGCTGAATCCAGTTTCCTGCTTCACCTTTCTAAAAGAATTCAGGGTGAGCCAAAATGATCATTGTTACTGAAACTAATTTCCACGTCAGACTTAAAGACAGAAGCTGGGGACAAGGTGAACCCCTTTTGTGACATCTGACTCCCAGGCTAGCCTTCCTTCAATACAGTATTAGGCCAGGTTTTCCCAGGTGAAAAATACAGCTTGAGACCTGGGCTTGCTCTCCCCTAACTCTGTGTGCTGACAGCCTGTATCATAGAGTCTTGCTGTGCGAGAGCTGCCCCTGGAAACCAAGGCTATTGACAACCTGGGCCCACTCTGTACAAAGCAATTTCTCACCGAGAAATTGGGCCCAGTCTGTCCAAAGGAGGGCACAGTTTGAGTTGTAGTTCCTGTGTTCCACGCTGCTGGTTGTGAGCCCGCTGACCCCAGTGCCTTTCTTAAGCGCTCTCCGGATGGTGATAACTGCCGCTTATGGATGGTGCCTTGGAGACCAAACATTTGGTCTCTCACCTGAGTCCCAGTTCTTAGCAACTATGTATCTTTTGGCAAGGGATTTCTCTGTTCCTTGGCTTTGTCACCTGTAAAATGGAGGGACCAGAGATAAAAATCAGAATCTGTCTGCAGGATAAAGATGTAAAGACTCAATGATACATTCATGCTCAGCTGTGAGCAGTGCAGACTACTCAGTAGATTGTGGCATTATAGTATCTGGCACAGGAGAGTCTATGGTAAGGAATGCAGACTCAAAAACTTCATTGTCTGTGCCTACAGTTTGCCCTCCCCTCCCTGCACACATTTATTTTCTTCACAGAAATTAGAGGTGTATGCTCAAAGCACACTCACAGGGCTGGAGAGGTGGCTCAGTGGTTAAAAGCATGTGTTACTCTTGCAGAGGACCTGGGTCCGAAGCCAGCACCTACACTGTGGCTCACACCACCCATAAGTCCAGTTCCAGGAGCTCCAACGCCCTCTGTGGCCTCTTTAGGCACCGGGGTTTCACGAATACACATGCAGGGGAAATACTCATACACATAAAAATAGATAAGTCTAAAAGAAAAAAATTAATCTCTCATATACACTTTTACTACATTCTGGACTTCCACAGAAAAAAAGAACACCAATAGAAAAAGCTAGTTAATCACACATTATTCCCCAAGTCAGAGATATTCATTACCTCTAACAAGACATGGAAAGTTAGGCAGTTTGTCAAGACACAGCTGGGTCTGACATGCAATGGATTCAACAGTTCTTCAAGGTGAACTCTGGTGTAGAATGGGATATAAGCCTGGCAGGGTTGCATAACAGTTTGGAATTCCAGCAGACACAGAGCAATCAGCAGACCCAGGAAGCGTGGGGCTGCAGGGACCATGGGAACACTGTGAGGCTTCCAAGACCTGTTTGCTCCCAAGACCTTTCCCAGCCCAGCCTGGCTTGGAGGAGTTGTGTCTCCTTCCCAGGATATACAAAGGCATCCAGAGGTCACTATGACAAGGGGGTTATGACGCCTGGACTCTTGTAGTATTCTCTACCCCAGGGCCAGGCCTTAGGCAGCCACTGAACCGTCGCCTGCTCTGTTTGCACCTGGCGCTTAGGCAGAGCCTCCTCTAGTTATGTTCCAGGAAAATGGATCTGGATGCAGTCCTGGGAGCCCATTTCCAAAATCTTGCCCTTTACAACAGAGCCAAGTGTTCACAAATGCTCCTCGTTTATTATTAAGTTCGATGTGTAGTCATTACCAGACTCGGATTGGTAGGAGGAGCGAGGCCCCGGTGGCCTTATCAGGGCTTATCTCGAAGGCCTGTTCTTGTAAAACTCAGCGAAAAGCAGTGAATTCAGGTTTTAAAAGATAAAAGTCTGAAATAGCTGTGGTTGCTTTTGGATTAGGAAATGTTTATTTAAAGAGCAGCGTGGAAGAGGAATCACAGGGCAAATCCTAAATCTTCATCATTTGCCTCGCAAGTAAATGCTCTTGAAGATTTTCTCAGAAAGGCCACGGTTAATGGGTTTCTCGGCAAGTCCAGCTGACGCCCAGCGACTTTCCAAGCTGCCTATCCCAGCCAGTAAAAACAAAAACAATATAAATGAATCCTCCTGGCTTTATAGAGAGCATCATAATTTTCAGCCCATTATTGCTGATTCTATGACGTCATGGCTCAGAAGGCCAGCTCAGCTTTAGAGTCTTACAAACGTTAAGCTGGCAACCTCCCTGAACTCGGCGTCCTCATCCGTTAGATGGAGCTGCGGTATTGCCTACATTAGCAAGTAGAGACGAGGGTGCGGTCCCCGGCTGTCGGCTACACCTCAGGGAAGTGCTGGACAGCCAGATGGAAAGGCCAGGAAGCCTCTGGATGTCCAGGTCTAATCAGAGCACTGCCCGGTGCTGGTAGGACCCCAAGGACCTTAGGGAGCAAATGGTGACTGAAAATGCAAGGACAGGAGTGACAGAGGACAGTTAAAGGAAGACTAGGCAACAGCTACACATAGAGGAAAATGTGAGAGTTACGACCTTTAGGAGTGGACAGTATGTACTTGGACCCTCTAACTGGGCACTCTTGAATCTCCACCGACTGAGACTCTCCACTGTGGGTGATGTTTCCTGTCAGATAACTACAGTTTGCATCATTCAATTTCCAATCAGAACTCGTCTTAGCTGCCTCATTCACTGGGGAGGTGCCTCACGAGGTCCTGTTAACTTCACACCATTATAAAGGAATACCTGGGGCAGCTCACTTATACAGTACTTGTGGGGATTTGGGTGAGCCGAGACTATATTTCTAAGACAGTTTGGTGCAGTGCTCACAGGGCTGGCCTAGGGAGGAGCAAGGCTACAGACAGTGGAAACCACCTGCCTCATAGTGTAGATGAAGAAACAGGTTTGGAGACTGCAAGCCATTGATTGAAGGTGACCTAGCTGGCTGGTGGCAGGCATGAGGGAGTCACTCCGAATGCTGACTCCATCCGGCAACCTCTAGGGAGGTTGGCAGTTAGAATGTGAGGTTAATCAACAAGTCGTTAATTTCCCTAGACCACCTCTCTGGTCCTCCTGCCGCCCCACCCCCCCCCCATGCTCTTGGTTCTTCTCTGTCCCCGTGAGCCCACCAGGGTCTCTCTGCTTCTCTGTCCTTTCCCCCCAGCTCACCCTCAGCAGCAGAAAGGCCAGGTTGGGGCATGACCGCAGCCAGGGGGGCAGCTGGAGAACCGGGAGGAGAGAACTTGCTGGAAGGGAGACCCTGCAGACCACCATCTGTTGCTGCCA